CCTTGTCGTGCCGAATAGGTAAAACTGGTCAGTTAGCAAGAACTCATTTAAAATTAAGTCCTTTCTATAATTTTCTCTTATACGTTTAAAGATATACTTTTCTCATTTATGTTAATGTAAAAATTAATAATTTTGTACCCAAAGAACCTTAGAAAACTTACCTAACCTTATTATAACAAGCACAATTTAATTTAGCCTTATCCAACTAAATATATTTTTAGATAACTTTACAATAATTTAATAATAAAAAAAAATAATGAAATATTTTTTTTCGTTAGGTTCGGAATGATTTTTGCGAAATTATTTCATGCACAAGTTTTCGCTTGCCTTATTCGGCAAGAAGAGAGTTGCTATTTAAGCCAAAATCCTGTCTTGATGACAGATTAAGGCAAAACATTAATCCAAATGGTAATGGTGAGGGGCTCTTGATCCAAGGAATTCAACGTGTCCTCCCGTTCCTAGGATCGAGCCTCAATTAAAATATTACCTGGAGTTTACCTGGAGTTTACCTGGAGAGAGTTCCGGGGGTCTTAGGTTGAAGATTTTATTCGGATTATTAACCCTGTGGGTTAGTAAACCCAATATAAATCTATGTCGTCAAACTATCTAGGTTATTTTCACTGGGGTATTCTTCCCCAGGATGCGACTCCTACTAGAGCTGACTGACATCTGGTACCTACTTACTGCTAGGTGAACAGGAGCTACCTACCTACCTGGAGTGAAAATATTAATTTCTCCACTCGTCCGGGGACCTGGGATTGAACCCGGACCCACAGTTGTGAACTGAGTCCGCTACCAACTGAACCATTAGCACTTGAATATATAACCTTCAGTTTTGTCTTAGTGAAGGCTTACTCTCGTAGTTGTTTGCTTACTTCTTTAAGTATATTAAAACTGCTGTCTTAATTTCCATTATTATTATTATTATCAATATTGGTTACAATGCATTATGTGACTACCGTCGTAAGGGATTCGAATCCCATACAGTCTAGGGGACTAGCTGCCCCTTTCTCACTGGAGGTGACTGCGGTCACTGTACTAGCATCACTTACCGTAGCTTAGACAAGTGTAATTAAATCAATAATGGTTATAAACGACCATAATTTTTAAAGAGGTGGACCGGTAAGCCAGGGAAAGGCCTCGGTCAGATGACCAAAGCTCCAAAGGCGGGTCATCATCTGACTAAGACCCGCGTCAGGAAACACTTGTCTTGTTTCCTGACAAACCTAACCGTAGCTTACGTCGATAGACGTAAATTACTCAGCTCAAGACGCTAGTGTTTACACACGTTATATCTGACTATAACGACTGATAACAAGTAAAAAAATCAACCTGTCTTCATTACATCATGTTACTTTATTTCGCAATTCCCAGCGTTAATTTCTAAATACTTCTTTCGCAAAGCTGAAAACAATATTTGTTTTAAGTTTGATTAGGTTAGTAGATTGTGGTTATTACCTATAACAGTGATTACCTATAACAGTGGTTATTACCTTTAACAGTAGCTATTACCTATAATAGTGATGATTACCTATAACAGTGGCTATTACCTTTAACAGTGGCTATTACCTATAATAGTGATGATTACCTATAACAGTGGTTATTACCTTTAACAGTGGCTATTACCTATAATAGTGAATTACCTATAGCAGTGGTTATTACCTTTAACAGTGGCTATTACCTATAATAGTAATGATTACCTATAACAGTGGTTATTACCTTTAACAGTGGCTATTACCTATAATAGTGATGATTACCTATAACAGTGGCTATTATCTCTAATAGTGGTGATTACCTATAACAGTGGTGATTACCTATAACAGTGGTTATTACCTATAACAGTGGCTATTACCCATAACAGTGGTTATTACCTATAACAGTGGTGATTACCTATAACAGTGGCTATTACCTATAATAGTGGTGATTACCTATAACAGTGGTTATTACCTGTAACAGTGATTATTATCTATAACAGTGGTGATTACCTATAACAGTGGTTATTACCTATAACAGTGGTTATTACCTATAACAGAGGTTATTACGTATAAGTGATTATTAGCCATAACAGTGGTTATTACCTATAACAGTGGTTATTACTTACAACAGTGGTGATTACCTATAACAGGTTGGTTAATGAGGTTTAAAGCCTATAGTCTGCATGAATCATTAAGAAGGCTAAGAAGAGTACTTTAATCTCTCAAATAGAGATTAAAGATTAGGTTACCTGGAGGTTACCTGGAGGTTATTCCGGGGATCAACGCCCCCGCGGCCCGGTCCACGACCAGGCCTCCCGATGGATCAGGGCCTGATCAACTAGGCTGTTACTGCTGGCCGCACGCAGTCCGACGTACGAGCCACAGCCCGGCTGATCCGGCACCGACTTTAGGTATCTGTCCAGCTCTCTCTTGAAGGCAGCCAGGGGTTTATTGGCAATTCCCCTAGTGCTTGATGGGAGGCTGTTGAACAGTTTTGGGCCCCGGACACTTATGGTGTTTTCTCTTATGTACCAATGGCGCCCCTACTTTTTATTGGCGGCATTTTGCATCGCCTGCCCAGTCTTTTACTTTCGTAGGGATTTGATTTCTGTGTGCAGATTTGGGACATTCCTTCCAAGATTTTCCAAGTGTAGATTATGATATATCTCTCCCCCTGCGTTCCAACGAGTCAAGTCAAGTGCTTCCAAGCTTTCCCCAGTAGTTAAGGTGCTTGACAGAACTTATACGTGCAGTAAAGGATCTCTGTACACTCTCTAATCTGCGATTTCACCTGCTTTGTATGGAGATGTTAATGTACAGCAGTATTCCAGCCTAGAGAGAACAAGTGATTTGAAAAGGATCATCATGGGCTTGGCATCTCTCGTTTTGAAAGTTCTCATTATCCATCCTATCATTTTCTTTGCACGTGCGATCGTGGCACTGTTGTGATCCTTGAAAGTGAGATCCTCAGACATTACTACTCCCAGGTCCCTTACATTATTTTTCCGCTCTATTGTATGGCCGGAGTCAGTAGTATACTCTGTTCTAGTTATTATCTCCTCCAGTTTTCCATAACGGAGTAGATGGAATTTGTCCTCATTGAACATCATATTGTTTACCGTTGCCCACTGGAAAACTTTGTTTTAGATGATGATGATGATGATGAACCACCGCTACTGGTCATCTGACCAAACTACACTTCATCTAACAGACATCCTCAATCACACTCAACTGCCATAGATACATAAAACTAAACTCTGTGGAGCACCTAACACCGTCTTGTCTCCTGGTCTTGTACCTGTCTCCGTGGACATAATTTACTTCAGATATTTTATGCTGCTGGATAGAACTGCTAGTTTCTATCTGCACTGTTATAATTCAAACTTTTTTTTGCTAGCTCTTTTCTGACAATGGTTTTTAACATTCTGTTTGAGAAATCAAAATTATTTTTCAACATTCTCTTTGTTTATTGCTAATTTAGCCAAGCCATCGGCTTTACCTTCCTTCCGGAGGCTTTTGTGAGAGGGAATTTACTAATGTTTAAATTTAATGACTTTGTCAATAATTAGTACATATATATGTGATTGGCCTCTTACATAAGAATATTACATTCAGGCCACAGGCTGTTTAGAGTAATAATGACGATAGGCTTATTATACGAAGGCCTAGTTATTGCTGTACCGAATAATAATGCCCTGTTGCATTTGCATATATATAGTTACATCTATATGGCATAACCCTTTTATCACTGATTTACAGAGTTATCATACTCGATAGCTGTTAAAAGTAAGTTGTTTATATGACCGGCAATATGGCGAACACAGTTGCTCGAGTCAGGTGACTTCAAACTCTCTATAAGAATTTTATGTGGCATTTCATTCGTATATGGATGTGTATATGTACATGCGTATATGGGTGCATGTATATTGTACTGTTGCCTCAGTGCTTTCTTATTTTTTTCAGTCTTCAGTGGAAGTCTGACCTTCTTAAAGCTGTTGATCGACAGCTTTTGAGCCTTAGGCTGCAGGTGGTATACTTAAGTTTGAGCTAAAGCTGCTGGGCCTTCTCATACTGTTTATCTAACTGCAATAGACATTCATGGAGTACTCTGTGTTATCCTTTTGTGTGAGATGGTACAAGAAGCTGTGGTTATGGCATATGGAAAATAATGTTCTCTGACAGCACAATAATCGAAATATTTCTAGTTTCGGTTGGGTTTCTGAGGTCCTCTGACCTACCATGTGCTAGGAGACTGTCTATATATTTCCCTCACTACGAATTGCGGTAAGTAAATAAGTAAGTAAGTAAATTTATTCAGGTATACACAATACAGTTACATAGAATTATCATACATAGCAGCATATGTGTAGAGAACCTAGGATAACCCAAAAAAGTCAGACAGAGTGACTTATTACTGATTTATTACTGTGTTACAATAAGTAAGTTTATTATGTCTGACGTCTGGCCCAGAATGAGTTATGTCCAGTAGCCAGGTGAAGGCTCTCCACTGAACAGCAATACTCAGGACAGAATATGTCCAGTCTACGGTCAAAAATACCCAAAATTTTACCTCATATTCACATTTTACGGCGAGTCTGACTCCAACTAGGCTCTCAAAATAATGTAGATAATTTTTCTAGCAATTGTTAAGACTAAAAATTGGTTAATATGAGACCTGAGTAGATAAATTTCTTCAAAACACACTACAGCTGGCCCGTATGGGGATCGAACCCACGACATCCGCGTTATTAGCACGGCGCTCTAACCAACTGAGCTAACAGGCCCGTGGCGGCTGCTATTTCTGCAGTTACTTCACAAGAAAGTTATATAAATTGAATGGAGAATAATACAGAACTTAAATTTTCATTTATGTAAGTATTGTACCCATACAATACTTATATAAATGACATCCATACTACTACTATACACATCTGACCATTTAAAATGAAACAACTTGGAACTGGTCATATAAAAATAAAATGATCTATTGGAACTCGAACCAATAAAAACATAACACAACACAGATGGCCCGTATGGGGATCGAACCCACGACTTCCACGGTATTATTAACACGGCGCTCTAACCAACTGAGCTAACAGGCCATAAAATAAGTTATTTAAGATAAGATTTATTATTTCTTCGGATTTTTAACCCCGGAGGGTTAGCCACCCAGGATAACTCAAGAAAGTCAGTGTGTCATCGAGGACTGTCTGTCTTATTTCCATTGTGGTCCTCAATCTTGTACCCCAGGATGCCACCCACACCAGTCGATTAACACCCAGGTACCTACTTGCTGGTAGGTGAACACGACAACAGGTGTAAGGAAACGCGTTCAAATGTTTCTACCCTGCCGGGAATCGAACCCTGGCCCTCCGTGTGTGAAGCGAGAGCTTAGCATAATTTTTACGAAACTAGACATACAAAGTATTTCAGTCAAACTAGAAAGAATAGATAAGTGTGGCGTAGGTCCATAAATTATATGTAGTTATAGTGTATCAACTACGATAATAATAGTAATAGTTGTAGTGGTAGTAGTAGTAGTAGCAGTAGTAGCGGTAGTAGTACCAATAGTAGTAGTGGTAGTAATAGTTGTAGTGATGGTAGTAGTAACAATAGTAGTGGTAGTAGTAGTAATAGTAGTGGTAGTAGTAGTAATAGTAGTAGTGCTAGTAATAGTAGTAGCGCTAGTAGTAGTAGTAGTAATAATAATAGTAATAATAGTGATAGCCGTAGTAGTGATGGTAGTAATAGTTACTAGTGGTGGTAGTAGTAACAGAGGTAGTAGTAGCAGTAGTAGTAGTGGTGGTAGTAAAAGTAGTAGTAGTAATAGAAACAATAATAATAATAATAATAATAATAATAATAATAATAATAATAATAATAATAATATTAAGCATGTCTTGCGAATAAGCCAAGCCAGGTGGGTTGGACCTCGGTGACTTGGGTGTTTTCTGCCAATTAAATTGGCGAAAATCAATCTGATAACGAAAAAGCATATGTATCATTGATTGTGCGTAAAGTTTATTATATATATATATATATAATATATATATATATATATATATATATATATATATATATAAGAATTTAGTTAAAAAATTATATTACCTGGAGTATCCATGGAGGGGGTTTCGGGGGTCAACGCTCCCGCGGCCCTGTCGATGACCAGGCCTCGTGGTGCATTAGATCAACCAGGCTGTTACTGCTGGTCGCACATAAACCAATGTACGAGCACAGCCCAGCTGGTCAGGTACTGGCTGTAGGAACCTGTCCAGCGCCTTCTTGAAGACAGTCAGGGGTCTATTGGTAATCCCCCTTATGTATGCTGGGAGGCAGTGGAAGAGTCTTGGGCCCCGGACACTTATTGTGTTGTCTCTTAGCATATTCTTAGCGCCCCTGCTTGTCATTGTATCTACTTCCGAGTCTTTTGCTTTTGGACTAATCCCTCAAGGATTTTTCCAAGTGTATATTATGGTGTAATTTTCTCTCCTGCATTCCAGGGAGTACAAATCAAGGGACTTGAACCGTTCCCAGTAATTTATGATCTTTGCCATACTAATACTTGCCCTGAAACCTCTCTCTAAATTCTCAAGGTCTGCAGTTTCACCTGCCGTAAAAGGGGCCTTTAGTGTTATTGTGTACTAGTGTAGTATATTTAGATAATCCCAGCTACTTTATAAATAGGCTCCCTTGCTAGATATGACGTCACGAACCCATCACATGTGAGCAGTAGGCCACAAGCCTCGCACTTAGTTCCCATTAGACGTAGATTGGATGGGTATGCACTTGGATTTCTCCTCAAGACTCTCTTAATTATACGCGTCCAAGACATCCAACGTGTGTATTTCTTACTCTGATATGTCCTTATGACATATAGCAATATTCCATCTTATAGACCAAACGATTTGAAGAGAATCATCATGGGCTTGAAGGTTCTCATTATCCATCCCGTCATTTTCCTAGTAGATGAGATAGATATATTGTTGTGATCTTTGAAAGTGAGATTCTCTGACATTATCACTCCCAGGTCCTTCACATTAGTTTTTCGCTCATTTGTGTGATTGGAATGTGTTCTACATTCCGGGAGTTTACCTGGAGAGGGTTTCGGGGGTCAACGCCCCCGCGGCTCGGTCTGAGACCAGGCTTCGCGGTAGATCAGGGTCTGATCAACCAGGCTGTTACTGCTGGCCTCACACACACTGACGTACGAACCACAGCCCGGTTGGTCAGGTACTGACTTTAGGTGCCTGTCCAATGCCTTCTTGAAGACAGTCAGGGGTCTATTGGTAATCCCCCTTATGTATGCTGGGAGGCAGTTGAACAGTCTCGGACCCCGGACACTTACTGTGTTGTCTCTCAGTGTACTCGTGGCGCCCCTGATTTTCATCAGGGAATGTTGCATCTCCTGCCGAGTCTTTATTTAAATAGATTTAATTTTTCTCGAGTTTTCCATAACGGAATAATCGAAATTTGTCTTTAATTAACCTCATATTGCTTTCTACGGCCCATTAAAATATTTGGGTGCTGTCCGCTTGGAGAGTTCCATTGTCTACGATGGGTAACACTGTTAGGTTAAATAAGGTTAGGTTAGGTTAGGTTAGGTTAAATAAGGTTAGGGGGGTTTTCTAAGTTAGGTTAGGTTAGTTAGGTTAGGTTAGGTTAAATAAGGTTAGGTTAGTTAGGTTAAATAAGGTTAGGTTAGGTTAGGTTAGGTTAAATAAGGTTAGGTGGGGTTTCTAAGTTAGGTTAGGTTAGGTTAGGTTAGGTTAGGTTAAATAAGGTTAGGTTAGGTTAGGTTAAATAAGGTTAGGTTAGGTTAGGTTAGGTTAGGTTAGGTTAGGTTAGGTTAGGTTAGGTTAAATAAGGTTAGGTTAGGTTAGGTTAGGTTAGGTTAGGTTAGGTTAGGTTAGGTTAAATAAGTTAGGTTAGGTTAGGTTAGGTTAGGTTAGGTTAGGTTTAGGTTAGTTAGGTTAGGTTTAGGTTAGGTTAGGTTAGGTTAGGTTAAATAAGGTTAGGTTAGGTTAGGTTAGGTTAGGTTAAATAAGGTTAGGTTAGGTTAGGTTAGATTAGGTTAAATAAGGTTAGGTTGGGTTGGGTTAGGTTAGGTAGGTTGGGTTAGGTTTGGGTTGGTTAGGTTGGTTTAATTTTGGGTTAGGTTAGGTTAGGTTAGGTTGGTTAAAAAAGGGGTTAGGTTGGTTAGGTTAGGTTGGTTTAAAAGGTTGGTTAGGTTGGGTTTAGGTTAGGTTAGGTTAGGTTTAGGTTAAAAAGGTTAGGTTAGGTTAGGTTAGGGTGGGTTAAAAAGGGGTTAGGTTAGGTGGTTAGTTGGTTAAAAAAGGGTTTTTAGGTTAGGTTAGGTTAGGTTAGGTTAGGTTAGGTTAGGTTAAAAAAGGGTTTAGGTTAGGTTGGGTTAGGTTAGGTTGGTTAAATAAGGTTGGTTTTGGTTAGGTTAGGTTAGGTTAGGTTGGTTAGGTTGGGTTAGGTTGGTTAAAAAGGGTTTGGGGTTAGGTTAGGTTGGTTAGGTTAGGTAGGTTAGGTTAGGTTAGGTTAGGTTGGGTTAGGTTGGGTTGGTTGGGTTAGGTTGGTTGGTTGGTTGGGTTAGGTTGGTTGGTTAGGTTAGGTTAGGTTAGGTTAGGGTTAGGTTAGGTTAGGTTAAATAAGGTTAGGTTAGGTTATTTTTGGTTAGGTTAAATAAGGTTGGTTTTAGGTTAAAAAAGGTTAGGTTAGGTTAGGTTAGGTTAGGTTAGGTTGGGTTTTTATTTTGGTTGGGTTTTAGGTTAGGTTAGGTTAGGTTAGGTTGGTTAGGTTAGGTTGGTTAGGTTAGGTTTTAAAAAGGTTTAGGGGGGGTTTCTAAAAGTTGGGTTGATAAAAAATTATTTTTACATCATTGTCAATGAAAAAATTTGTAACTGTAAAAAATTCAAAAGGACCTTAGAAAACTTGCCGAACCCTTATTAAAAAAAGTGCAATTTAATTTGCTTAATCCAGCTAAATATATTTTAGAAAATTTTAAAATAATTCAAAATAAACAAAAAAATAATAAAATATGTTAATAATATCTTCATTACTTTTTGGGAATTATTAAAAACAAAAATAGAAAAAGGTGTGTGATGAGTGTGTTTCTTGGATCGGTAGCGTGGCCGAGCGGTCAAAGGCGCTGGTTTAAGGCACCGTCTCTTCGGAGGGTGGGTTCAAAATCCCCGCTGCCAGTTCTTTCAACTTTTGACAATTGTTGCTATACTAAACAGAATGTTTGTGAATATATTGTCAGTTTCTGTTTGATCGGTCTCCTATCATCACCTCCATCCATGGTAACGAAATCTCTCCTTATTTTTGTGAACAGTCTCGTTTTGTCAACGTCCCACAGGGGAAAAATGAGATAGATACTGAACTTTTCGTATGGTCAACACACCATCTTCAAAACGACTGATACGTTATTTTTCCCTACCTTTTAAATCTATGAGAACCTTGCAGGAGCCTCGGTCTTGTGGACCAGCCACTGAACAGTAGTACTGCAAAGCTGTTTGTTGAGGCTATGTGTAACTTGAAAAGTTTTATTGTGACTGGGTGTGCTCATCCTGTCAACGCCGTTTATTGGTACCCGCAGTGATTCTTGAGTGTTTTTTTATGGTACCACAACGCAAAAGAGCGGGATAAAGATCCAAAGGGAAGACTGCATTAGGCAAAATTACAGTTAAAGTTATTACGTTGATGTAGTATCGAAAAGTAATTTTTACCCAGTGCAATATATGGTACTTTACGTTGCCATAAAAACATTTACTGGTTCACCTCTAATAAAATAACATTTAAATTCATAAAGTCGGTGCGAATGTGGATACAGTCTCAATATTTCGATATCTTGAAATAAATAATACAATTATTTGCTTTTTCTGTTGTTTTGTTCAAGGTTCAATGGTTGAATATTTAGGCACAAAATATAATTGGTTTACGGACAAGTAAGAATGGAAGGGGTTTAATATTTGTATCTTTACGTGGAGACGTTTTACCTACCATGGCCTTATCAGTCCAGTAAGGAATTCTGGACGGCAGAAGACTTGAAAATGTAGTTTCGTGATCAGTCTTCAGCCCAGAGGCCCCAATGAAT